GGATCTTAGGGATGTTGATAGAGTAGAGGTCTAACAGTGTATAGATTCTATCCCTCCCCAGAATGAATAGTACAGGTATCACTGTTTTTAGAGCAGAACTAAGTTGTAGTAAGAGACATTCTCTAGCTTGGCATTTTCCAAGGCCATTTGACATTTTTTTTTTCTATAGCCTGTAATGAAGTACTCCATGATGCTGTTGATGAGGTTTTTAATGAGTTACATGTGCAAAGGCATTTAGCACAGTGTAGGGCTCCTTAATACGAGCTATTAAGTGTTTATTTAATCTGGGGCTTTTAAGTATTTAAACCATTCCTTATCAATGGGCCATTAAGTTATTTTCAGTGGCCATGCATTGTCATAGTGCTTACGTTAATCTTTATTCTTCGTGCATATATTTCTGTGGGAGAGATTCCTAGAAGTAAATTGCTGGGTCAAAAGTATGCACACTAAAATTGATAGATCCCTTCAGAATATACCTTTAAATCTGATCAGCCAGACCTAACAGTTCATTTGCCCATCAAAGAAAAGCAGCTATCTTCCCATACTGCAAGGTGTGTTGGATCCTCCTCCTTTCCTTCTTGGCGAACATACTGAATGGAAGGAACACAACTGAAAGTCCCCTCTGTCTTGTCTTACAGGAATCTGGCCACATAAGGACCAAAATGGACTGACTCAAAGTATTTACACGACCAGAAAGGTATTGTTTGTTTCAATTATGGCCTTGTCCTGGCTTTTTCAGTGCCTGACCCTTTTGCTTGCTTCCTGTAGGGTGAGAGGAGGGGGGGGGAACAGGCCTGGAGGCCAGACAGGTGAGAATGGCAAGGCTTCATTACCTGTTAATCATAAATTGAACTGTTGAATTGTATAAGAAATTATTTCTTCCTTTTAGACTCAGAAGGGAAGCATTAGTTCCAAGTATGGAAAAAGTCCCTTTTTGGTTCTCCATCGGCTTAATTATGTTTTTTTGGTTGGCTGGAGGTGGCTAAGGCCTGACACCAGTTACTTTGGAGGCCAAGGTGGAAGGATTGCTTTGAGGCAGGGAGTTTAAGTACCAGCCTGGAAATATATCAAAACCCCTTTCTTGGCCAGCGCGGTCTCACGCTGTAATCTGTACTCTGGGAGTGAGGTGGGCGATTGCTCGAGTGAGTTCGAAAATGGCTGAGCAAGAGCAGACCCCGGTCTCTACTATAATAAAACAAATTGGCCGGGCCGCGGTGGCTCACGCCTGTAATCCTGCTTGGAGGCGAGGCGGGCGGATTGCTCGAGGTAGGGAGTTCAAAACAGCTGAGCAAGAGCGAGACCCCGTCTCTACTATAAATGAAGAAATTTAACTTGCCAATAATATTATATCTAAACAATTAGCTGGCATTGGTGGCTCATGCCTGTAGTCCCAGCTCTCGGGGGCTTGAGGCAGAAATCGTCGAGCCCAGGAATTGAGGTTGCTGTGAGCTGGCTGACGCCACGGCACTCACTCTGCCTGGGCACACAGCAGACTCTGTCTCAAAAAAAAAGAAAAAAAAAAATAGGAACAAACTATTGGCCAATTAATATATATAAGAAATTAGCCGGGCATGGTGGCACCATGCCTGTAGTCCCAGCTACTTGGGAGCTGGCAGCAGGATTGGTTGAGCCAGGGATTTTGGAACGGTTCTGTAGGATAGAGCTGAACGCCACCAGCAAAAAAACACTGATAAGCGACACATCACAACAACTCCCCGAAGACTCTGTATACACAAAAATAAACACACCAGTACACACAAATATACCCCACCAACCTCAAGAAAACTCAACCCCGGATCCACCGGCCATCTCACCCATGCATCTGTAATCAAACCATAATTGGCGAGTGGCGGCAGGAATCAGTTGATGACTTCAGGAGTCAGTCCAGATGAGCTGTGATAGCCCAGAACTAGTCCATTGGCGGCAAAATAGAGCAAAAGATGCTGTCTCTTTGAAAAAAACAAAAAAAACAAGATTGTTCAATTATTTCCTGGAAAAAAGAAAGAAAAACACATCAATCTATCGCAAACCCAATAGCCCAGGTGTGTGTGGTGTTGTGTTGTGTGTGTGTGTGGTGCGTGCACTTTGCACATTACCTAATCCTAATCATAATGATGACACAATTTTGTTTTCATTCGGTGTTGTAGCTCACAGCATGTTTCATCTAGTTTTTCAAACATACTCCAACCATCCATTCATACACAACACACCTTACACAACATGCTACACTCGCACCACTCAACTAAATTAAGTCTGTTGCAGGAGCTGCACAGGACATATTGCTCAGCCCAAAGGCCTATGACGTCATTCGGAAATCTTTAGATTAGTTTATAGCTATCAAGGAATGGGGAATATATGTCAGTGAGGCATTGGTTTCTCACTGGTTGTGAAATCCACCTTTTTCCTTCCTGAACTCACCTTATTCACAATGTGATGATACAATCCCATGACCTGATGACCAGGATGAAAGAGTCTGTAGTTGGTCACTGGCAGGACTGAGTTTAGCACCCACACTGCTTCAATATTAATATCATTCATATCTGCTCCCGTTCATGAGACCTATTCATGCCCATCGTGACCCACAGGCGATAAGATTAGCTGTGTCTCTTCGAATTCCTCGCGCATAAATTTGACTCAAAATGTTGGAGCCGGAAAGAGTACTATATAGGTCATGTTAACCACACTGACTAAACGCGCGTACACAGAGGCTGATAGAATAGACTAGTCAGGCAAAACAGATCATCCTCCAAGCGGCTCTATATCTTCTTCCAATCACTACACAAACTAAAACTCAAATACCAAAACAACTCCAAAACAAGGATGGACAATAAAAAGAGGGCCGTGAGAAGAGAAGCAACCACAATCCATGCGCGAACGTTATGTAGGCCACTATCAAAAAATAGTGGACCTGATACTGAGGAGTTGACAAGCAGCGAAATTGCCAGAGATAAAAGCAAGATCATCAATGTGGCCTAGTGAGCAGGCACAGGATAAACACACCCGAATTAAGTGCTGGTAGTAATTGAAATGTCGAGTGGTGGAAGTAATTTTGGGTTTTCTTTTGGGTGAAAGATGGTGTATGAGCGAAGAGAAGAGACCTGGGTGTCATAAACACAAACCTGAAAAAATAAAGTGATATTCACGGTAATACTAGACGAAGAAACACCTGTTACAAGAAGAACAAAGTCAGTGTACTTGGCATCCGTGACAACAACACAAGTAGAATTTAACACTCAAGAGCAACAGCTCGGCTTAATCAGGAAGCTGTGCATTCACCTCGCTATACATTGAATGGGCACGACACATACACACCAATATGACATAAACTCTAGTGTAGTGATAAAATCTATACGAGACATAAGCATCGGCTCCTCATTGCCCATAAATCGATCATGAGAAATACATGCGAAAAATAGTACGTCAATGTATAATGATGCAGGCAAGTAAGGCAGGAAAATTGGTTCTGGTTGAATGTTGGGGTATAGGGAAAGGTCCTATGTAAACGATATAACATACTTACCTCCTAGCCATGTCTCAGGGTCCCTCAATCACTATTCCTCTTCCATGGACAAGACGCCGAACTAATATCGTATCCACTCATTTACTTTTTCCGAAAAGATCATACATATGTCTATACCCACACACCAAATTTCAACATGTCTCTATGCAGCCCCTCGGTCGAAGTATGCTGATACTACCCCCCCCCAGATCCCTACCAGAGATGCAAGTAAACGCACTATCTATGAACTCAGGAAGTGACAAACCCTGAGCAAGTCTCCATGAGAAAATAACTAGAGTCTGGAAAAACACAACATATGTGTGGCGATCCGCTATACCACTCCTGCCATCTCCCAACAAACCCTAAAAGATACCCCAGAATATCACATCGCATAGCTTAGTGTCTACAGGATATCTTGTGATAGGAGCGGCCTAGACCTGCAACAAAAGAGCTGCCATTCCATGATTTTCAATATGTTTTTATTGAACACGAAGTCATCAAGCCTCACACAACGAACCTTTGCCTGGGCTAGAGTGTGTGGTCAGATAACGCTCAGCTAGCACCCAAACTCAACTGGATAAGCAACTCTCGCACTCAAGCGCTCCCCGAGTACTGGACTACGGCATTCTCCCACCACCTCGCCAGGCTACTCCTCTCCCCTCACTCATATAAACTCCTCTATAGTTGCATCTTCATTTCCTTATCTAAATTTATTCACAGCTGTAGAGATGGTCACACTCACTCTATGTTCGCAGGACTTCGGTTTCCAACTCCTGACCTTACCT